TGGGTGTTGGGGTGAAGGGGAAGAGATGATAGAGCATTTGGGGTGCTTTGCACAACGAAAGACAAGATAATAGCTGTGCTGCTGCTCAGGGTGTAGGGTGTGTACATGACTGTGACATAGCCCAGAGTCTGTACAGTCCCTCGCAAGAGGCAGGGAGGTGGGTGGCCTTGGGTCACTGAGTCACTCTTGTCCTGACTGGAGAGGGCAGCCAAGAGAATGTAAATAAGGGAACTGGCAAATGTAGCTCACTGTAGGAGGATCACCTTGGGAGTTGCGTAGGAAGCTCTGGGTCAGGACTTAAACTAAAGATTGGCAGGGAGAGAGAGAGAGAGAGCCTGGTCCAACAAGCAGACTTAGAGAGTGGGGAGCAGCTGTGCTGGTCTGTAGTATAAAGGGCAGTCATGTGAGGGAGATTCACCATGCTGCCAGTAGTGAGATAGGAGCCATGTGGGTGGAGTGAGTGTAGAGAAGAAAGAGTCATGATGTAGCAGCTAGGTAGCTTGCAGTTAGGATTCGGCCATGCAGCCTGGTGCAGTATGGGAGAGAATGGCATGCTGCTGCTTTGTCCTGCCTACTATAGCTGACTTGTAATCCACCAAGACCCTGACTTGCAGGACACTAACCTGCTGCCTTGGAGACCCAGTCTCTTCTGGACTCTTGGGACTTGGAATACACGGAGAGGCCACTGTCTTGGGACTTGTTCCTTTCCTGGACTTTCCCATGATCCATTGTGATATGGCACATATATTCCTGGACTATAACATGGAGGCTGATGACCACATACCCCAGATTCTGATGGACAGGGCTGCTGTGACACTGTTTGCACAGCTGACTTAAGCACAGAAAGGATATGGGGAACTAATGGACTTGGCTTTCTCTCTTAGCCTTTTGGGGAGCAAGGGAAGTTCTGAGTCTCAGGGAAAGACAGGGCTCCAAGCATAAATGCTCTCAGCACCCCCAAGGTTGGAATCTGGTGAATAAAAACCCATTTCTCTCCACACTAATTATTGGGTCATGCATCAAGGCACAACGTGGATGGGCCCCTGTTTGTTTGGTTACAGTTTTGGTGAGCCCAGATGGGACTGAAGCTACCTGTAGTCAGGTTCCAGCCACGTGAGGCAGACAGACATCTGGAGAAGGGCTGCGGGGACTTCACAGTCTCCACAAACTGCCCTGCACCCAAGCTCAAAGCACCGGTCACCAGGAATGCCAGAACGGGGTAAGGAAATAGGTTTGGGGAGGGAGGAACCTCTAGGCTCTGTGAGCAGAACCCATGTGCATGTTGGCGTTCGGACACTGAGCCACATGGGTGTGCCACCATTTTGGCAAATCACGTGAGTGCTCCGCCGTGGGGGATGAATCACATGGGCGTGCCATCATCTCATAGGTGGCACATGGCTGCTCTGCCATCTTGGATGATACAGCACGTGAGGGTACCTCCATCTGGGGTCTGGGCAAAACAGTGCACTGGGTGCAATCTTCAGGTTATGTTCTACTTGGGCATGGTACCAGTAGGGTTCTCTGTGCAACTGGGTTCTGATAGGGATGTCTCTGGTCTTGATAGCCATGAACTGATGTCCAACAGGGATTGTCCTGATTCTGAAGGCTATGAATTGGGTCCAAGGGTGACAATGCTTCTGTTAACTTTATGCATGTGCTTGAAAAGCTAGGGACTTTTAGCTGCCAGATAACGAGTTTGAGCATGGTCCTTCCTAGTGTGGAAAAGAATAAGGATTGAAAGTGGAGTATGGTTAAATCTGAAGGAGTATGGTACACAGAAAGTTTGTGAATGTTGCAGAACATCTGTGGAAAGTCATAAAGGCTATAAAAGGTTATGAAAGTTTTGGAAAGAAATTGTATAGTTTTAGCAGTAGAAGGTATAAGGTATGGAGATGCAATCTTGGTGGATATTTGAAGGACAAGGACTTTCCTTTATGCTTTGTGTTTTTCTCTTTGCTTGATCCCTCCAGAATTTGGCATTCGGAAGGAGTAAGTGATGATATGAGGTTTCTTTGCATAAAACCAATAAGACTTGTTGCTAATGGTGGTTTTGTCAACCAAGACTTTGACTGGAATGCCATACCTGAAGGAGGCATGCCAGAGCTCTGGACATCACCAGAAAGCCCCGAGGAACTGGAATTGACTTTTGAAGGTAGTGAAAGCCCATGAGAAAAAGCCTGGTACCCTGATTGGTTGTGTGGTTCATGGCAGTCTTCCCAGGGAAGGAACAAAGGTTGCTTTCCTGAAAGATGGTAAGGAAGGAACCCTAAGGCACAATGGAAAACCTCAAGGACTTGAGAGAAGCAGGTGGTATAGGCAAGGCCAGATGCAGGTGTGTAGCTCAGATTCTGTGCCCTGAAGGGAACACTACAGAGTCAATCTAAAGGTTCCTTCTGTAAGTTCCAGCAGAGCAGATTTAAAGATCATATGTAATCAAGTGTTGCTTATTGTGGTTATTCAAACAAACAGGCAAAATTAAAACTGCATTTCATGCAGTCCTTTAATGACAATGAGGGTGATTTTGAAAAAAATGATTCAAGGAATCATCCGTGATTCAAGGAAAATCACAATGTTTAGTAGTGGACATTAGACTAGTGCAGCTAACTGTCTTTAAAGTTTGTTTTCATGTGGAAGTTCAAACTGGGTTTATGATATCACCAGAGATACTCAATTTATAAGCAAGAAGAATATGTCAAGTTGGCATTGTTAACTGTCATGCCAGCAAAGGCCTTGCACCTGGATGTCTTCCCAAAATACAGGTTGCAGCCTCAGAGACTGGTTTGTGGGTTGTATGAATTATCATGTGTGTTCTTCCTTCTGTTAGAATAGGGTATAAGCCTAAGCACTCATTATCTGAGTGGTCTCTGGTGAGACAGGCCTCACTTAAGAAGCCCATCAGCATCATCACCTCCTGAGATTCAACAGTTTGGTTAAACTAAGTGGCTGGGTTGGTGAAGTATGGGGCAATCAGTGGGCTTCACTTTAAAACTGGTTTCATTTTCTGCCCTAATGGCTTAGACAGAAAGGGCTCAGAGGTCTAAAATGGGGAAATCCTGAAATATTCCCCTCATCCCAAGCTAAGGGTAGTGGGCAAAAGGGCCTTGGCTAGGCGTGACACACCTTGCACACCTTCCTCCAAAGAAGTCACTCTTTTGCTAATGTGCAACACTGAAGAATTGGCCTGTGCCTTTGTCACTTAGTAGTTACGGTATTCATTTTGCCTTCTAACCCTCTTGCCAAACCTGTTGCCCCCCAGAATATGACAAGGATGTCAGTTTGTCCAGCAGTGCCAGCCTTTGGACACCAAGCATGCTGCTCCCCAGGACAGTCAATTGACCTGGACTCTGCAAGGTCCCTCGCTGTGCGTGAAAGCCACTCTCCACTCTGCACCCCGCACCCCGACTCTGTTATGGGTCCCTGTTAAGTTCCACTCATATGACCTCATTTTGCCTTAATTACCTTTCTAAGGACCCTGTCTACAAATATAGTCACATTCTGAGGTACTGGGGTATGTTTCCACATACAAATTGTCAGGGGAACACAAATCAGCCCATAACACTTCCTACCTACATCACAGACCTGAGGAAATAGGAGAATATTGAGGAAAACATTATGAGTGCAATTACATCTTGTACAAAAGGATGTCTGTTTGGTTTGTTAAATTAGTTACATCTACTACTATTCCAAAATCATCTGTGAATTTAAGTTGCTTGTAAGGAAAGATGTTAGTGCCTACCATCTTAGAGAACAGGACCATGAAGAGAATCAGATGACATGTTGACATTCATATCTGCAAACAAGTACAGTAGTTTAAATGTTAAAAATTCTCTAAATTCAAAACAATCAGAAGAGTAATCTAACTAGTGATTAATTATAGAATATATAATGGTTTTTTTGTCAAGTTAAAATAACTTACAAAGAATGCGGCAAAAATTATTCTAGAACAGTGTAGACTTTAAACTTAGCAGAGCCTCCTGGCATCAGTTTATAGAAAACAGAATGGATCCCAGAACAAATCAACAGGGCTCACTCTGTTTTGGTCACATCGCTGTAAGCACAGCATGGTGTTCAAACTTGTGGTGTGTGCAGAAGAATAAAAAATAATCAGATGTAGGGAAACGTGTTCATTGTGATCCATTAAGATGATTCATATGAAACTGGCCTTTCAGTAGATTAAAAGAAATGGTCTAGTATCCACAATTCTATGTGTCAACCCAACAAAAGAAAAAGTAGAGGATTTAGCCTGTAGGTGAGGAAAAAGGGAAGCAGCTGGAAGCCATTATGACAGAAAATTAAGAGAGGCCTTTTGTCTTAAAATTGTTATACGATTCACATAAATCTGAACCCCAGCATTTCAGGTTTGGTCTCCTATCAATAATAATACTATCACCCTATTAATATTTTATATATATAAAGTTAGCTACTTGAATCTTCCACGCAAGTTCCTGAACTAGTCTGCTTTACCCAGGCCACGGGCTGAAATGGACACTGAGCGTTCACTCTCCGCGTGCTCAGATTTCCCTGCCCCTGGCAAGTTCTAACAGCTTGACTCCCCCACCCTACTCGCCACCATCCCCTGCCCATCCTTTCCGGAGCTTTGGCCACCTACGCCTACAAATTGAACACCTTGCGTTTCCGCCATCCTCCTGTCAGTGAGAGGAGGGAAGTGGCCTTTCTTCCTCCGAATCCCGATTTGGATAAGGAAGTAGCCCTGTCTTTTTGCTGTCGAGGGCTGGGTCGGGGACCCCACTCTCCCAGCTCAGGGAGGAGCTGCTGAGGTGGAGGCTGAGTCAGCACAGGGACCTGTCTCTGTGGCAGGACCTACACTCCGGCGGCCAAACGAACTCCACTAAGTCCAGGAGCCAATCAGAGCGCAGGAATGCGTTGCCTGTATTTGGGTTTCAGGATGGGCCACAGCCAGGCCAGAGCCAGAGTGGGGATCCTACAGAAATCAGGAGGCCAACTCGCAGACTGCGGGCCCTGTTCTGCGATCACTTTGCTGCTTAGCAAGCGCGTCCGTGTTTCCCTTAGGGCTTCCCTGTTTTGAAGGGGGTGTGGTCGGGAGCCGCCAATCTGGGGCGCGGTCTGCGCGCCTCCAGTCCCAGGAACCCCGTTTAAGAAAGGTGGAGGGAGCTCAGGAGGCCACTGCCCGCTCACCAGCCATGGACGCCCCAGCACCTCCGCAGCCCCCGGCCCAGAGCTGGGAGCCTCCAAGTCTCCTGCCCGCGCCCCTGGGGCTGCTGCGGCTGGACCCCACGGGCGGAGCGCTGCTGCTGCTCGGCCTGGCGGCGCTGCTCGGCTGGAGCTGGCTGAGGCGGCTCCGGCCGCCGGGCATCCCCCCCGGGCCCACGCCCTGGCCGGTGGTCGGCAACTTCGGCTTCCTGCTCCTGCCGCCCTTCCTCCGTGGGAAGAGCTGGACGAACCGCAGGGGGAGGGCCCCAGGCTTGAGCCTTTCCTCCATGGGCTTGCAGGTGCTGCTGACCGACCTGGCCCGCGTCTACGGAAACATCTACAGCTTCTTCCTTGGCCACTACCTGGTGGTCGTCCTCAGCGACTTCCACAGCGTGCGCGAGGCGCTGGTGCAGCAGGCCGAGGTCTTCAGCGACCGCCCGCGGGTGCCGCTTATCTCCATGGTGACCAAGGAGAAGGGTGAGCTGGGCCACTGCAGGGAGCCTGGAGTGTGGCGGGGCCGTGGGAACGCTCAGGGCTGCAGGGCTTGTGCCCTCAATCCCCCTCGCTTCCTAGTCCGGCGCCCCTCCGCCGCACTCCTGCCTGGGAACCGAGGGGGATGGAGGTGGGGGCGCCACCCTTTCCCGGGTGTTGAAGATGCCATCCAGCAGTGACTGAGTGGTAACTCATTCATGTTTCAAGACCCGAAGTAGGAAGCGCACCGCAAAACTCGGGAAGTGGGGGGGGGGCGGGCAGAGGAAACGGGGGACAGCACCGGGTGAAGCCGGGCTGCGTCTGTCCGGGGGTGTTCTCTCCTTCCCAGGACCAAGCCTCACTCTTCAGGCGGTGTCCGGGGAAGAACCTGAGATGAGCCAGGAAGGGGGGGGGGGGGATGTTTTTTCGCCCTGTGAGTTTTCGTGCAAGAGTTTAAGATACTTCTTCTCCCATAAGATGAAAAGTCCAGAAAACACGTTACAAGCCTGTTGGCTAACTCAATACACCGGGTTTGTAGCCGCTGTGATTCCTGCCCATGAGAGTCTAATATGGGCAACTTTCTGGGTTAGAAAACACCTTATCTGTTGCAGTAGAATTTCACGTTTACTCTAACCCTACCTGCCTTTCTGATTTTCCCTCTTTCCACTCTCCTTTTGCTTGCACATTTCAACCTGCTCTGGGCACAGTAAGCTGATGCCTACCAGGCTTGTGTCTGCTTCAGGCCACTGAGTTTGTCATCCTTGAGCCCAGAATAACTTTTTACTTGACCCACTGACTTCTCATCATCTCTCAGGCCAAGTATTGTGTTTTGACCCTATGTTTGGCACTGTCCAGTACCACAGCTTTTTCTTTTTCACATTCTTACTTCATATGATAAGTACTTGCAAAGTATTTAGCCTATTACACCAAGTCCACGTACCTTTGGAATGTGAGCTCTGTGAGGGCAAAGACTTTGTTCATCTTGATAACCACTGTTTCCCCACTAATTGGCACAGAGTAGGTAATCAAGGAGTGAATGACTGTGTGCATACAAGCCTTTGTTGACTCACTTACCACATCATTTTGTGATTAGTGCTGCATGTGTGTCTTTTCCTGCACATTTTTGACGGTAAGAATTAGATTTTCTTCTTTGAGGTCCTTCTTGTGGATGTATAGATTGGCCAAGAATTCACAATAAGAGAGTTTCTAAGCATTAGTTGGATCACAGATTATTAGCAGCTCCCTGTTTATTGAAGAAAGCACTTGGGAGCCTGGGGAAATTTAGGAGTTTTGGTATCTCAGCTAAAGCATTCATTTCTCCAGGAGACAGGATGTTTTAGGCCATGTTGCCCTTATTTTGGTGGATGTGTGTTGGATGAAATGTGCTGCGAAAGAATGAGAAAATTTTCTGTAGCTGATGAAGATGATGGACAAGAAAAGGTAGAGGAAGAACCATGTGTCACAAAGAAAATGCTTGTGAACTTCACTTGGAATAGAGACAGATCATCTGAATTTGTGTAATTTAAAAGTTGGTGAGTAGATGATACAGACTGAGAACCTAACAAAGGAAAAATAAATTTCCTTGCAAAATAGGACAAAGCAGAAATGTCATATGTAATATCTTAAATAATGAGAAAGTAAAGGAAATATACTTCCAGGAAGCTCAGAGAGCCCCAAAGAAGTTGGCTCCAAGGAAGCACACACCAAGTTACATTATAATTACATTACCCAAGATGAAAGATAAGAAGAGAATCTTTAAGCTCTGGCTGGTATAGCTCAGTGGATTGAGCGTGGACCTGCAAACTGAACAACCACGGTTCGATTCCCGGTCAGGGCACATGCCTGGGTTGCAGGCCTGTTCCCAGTGGGGGATGCAAGAGAGGCAACCATACATTGATATTTCTCTCCCTCTCGCTTTCCCTTCCCCTCTAATGATAAATAAATAAAATCATTTTTAAAAGAAGAGAATCTTTAAAACAGCAAGTGAAAAGGAGACATTTACCTACAAAGGAGTTCCCATAAGACTAGCAGCTGATTTCTCAGAAGAAACCTTACAGGCAAGAAGGGACTGGAAAGAAGTATTCCAAGTCATGAAAGGCAAGGACCTACATCCAAGATTGCTTTATCCAGCAAAGCTTTCATTTAGAATGGAAGGGCAGATAAAGTGCTTCCCAGAGAAGGTCAAATTAAAAGGATTGCATCATCAGCAAGCCCTTATTATATGAAATGTTAAAGGGACTTATCTAAGAAAAAGAAGATCAAAAACTATGAACAGTAAAATGACAACAAACTCACAACTATCAACAACTGAACCTAAAAAATAAAATAAAATAAACTAAGCAAACAACTAGAACAGGAACAGAATCACAGAAATGGAAATCACATGGAGGGTTATCAGCCAGGAGGGGTGGGAGGTGAGCAAGGGAAAAGGTACAGGGAATAAGAAGTATAAATGGTAAGTACAAAATAGGCAGAGGAAGGTTAAGAATAGTATAGGAAATGGAGAAGCCAAAGAACTTGTATGTAAGACCCATGGACATGAACTAAAGAGGGGGAATGCTGGTGGGAGGGGGTGTGTAGAGCAGAGAAGAACAAAGGGGAGAAAAAACATAAGACAACTTTAATAGCATAATCAATAAAATATAATTTTTTAAAAAGAAGGTAATTAGAATAAGTATCGAATCCTGAAGTTAGAGTGAGTGAGCATATCTTCCCAAGAAAAGAGGAGGCCCAACAACACTTAATGAATGCTGCCTGCAGCAAAAGACTTGGCCCTGGTTAAAAACAAGAAGAGTGACTAAGCTATGGGGGCCTAGGAAATAATTTATGGAGTTTTCGTAAACAAAGGCAGAGTTCTCTTTTGGGGAGTTGTTGAAACATTGTCTTGACAATCACAAACCAAAGCAGAGGAAATTTAAACAGAAGCATGTACTCCACCTGTGATGAAATATATTTACAGTTCTGCACCACAACATCTGAAGACAAAAAAAGTGGACATAGGGTTGGCAAATGACTTCATAGACTGAAGGATGACAACCTTTTTGTGTCTACAGTGGATAGTACTAGTGAGGCATGAAACAGTTTACCCTGCAGCACCCCCAAAAAGCTCAGGAATTGGAGGTATAGGGGTGAACCAGTGGGCTAAAAACAGCCATTGTTTGAAATGCCTGTAAGGTGTAGTAGTTAGAGGAGTTTCCATTACCACCCGGGCCCCTGCAGAAAATAGAAAGCAGCTGCTCTGGAGAACCTTGGGTTTTATCGACCTCTTGGCCAGTTCAGGATGCCAAGTGGGAGAAGTAACATCAGAGAGATGTGGCCTTGGACACACATGAAAAGTTACCTCTAGATAAAGAGAGGACTCTTGAAGAGTGTAACTCTGAGTGAATTAGACAAAGAAAGTTCAGTGAATCTGGCCACCAGAAAAAAAAAAAAAAGAAGAAGAAGAAGAAATTGCTTATCTTGGACTGGACTAATCTCTGTTGCAACTCTTCTGCCATTTTTGTGCAGAGCTGTAGGCTGTAAATGAATTCTTGTCACTCAGTAACAGGCTGTGTTCTAGTTAAACTTTATTGACCTTGATGTTTGAATTTCATATCATTTTCACATACCACAAAATATTTTTTGGATTTTTTTCAACTCTGTAGAAATATAAATGGTAGTCCTAGCTCTCTGGCAGTACAGAAAGGGGCAGCAGGCTAGATTTGACCTTTGGTCTCTAGTTTGCTGACCACTAAACTAGATTTTAAGTAAGCTTCTTAAAAATTTAAGTGTGGGCACTCATCCTGTTTCTTTCAATGCTAAAGGTTCAAGAAAGAAAGGGGAAAAAGAGAACAGACATGGCAAGGCAAACGGAAAATGCAGAATGGTGTTAGAAATAGTACTTATGTTAGATGTAAATGGGCCAGACTTATAGGCTAAAAGATTACCAAAATAGATTTTAAAAAATCTAAATATATGTTCCTTTAAGAGACACACCTAAAAAAGAGATATACCCCCAAACATAAGGTTATGTTCAAGTTCAAGGTAAAAGAAAGCAAAAGAACATTATACTAAGGGAAATAGGCCAGGCAGAGAAAGACAAGTGCCCTATCATTTTAGTGACATGTGGAATCTAATGAACAAACTGAACTAACAAGCAATATCGAGACAGACTCATAGATGGAGAGCAAGCTGGCAGCCCTGGGGGGGTGTTGTGGGGGAGGGATTGAGCAAAAAAAAAGAGAAAAGACTCATGGACATGGACAATAAGTGTGCTGACTGAGGAGGGTAGGGGAGTGGAAGAAGGTGGGAGAAGGTATAAGGGGGATAAATGGTGATGGAAAAAATAAATAACATTTTTTAAATGAAACTATTTGAAAAAGAAAAGCTGATATATTATTGACAAAATACACTTTGTCTGATTTCATTGTTAAGAATAAAGAGGGCATTACATAATGTTAAGAGTTTTTTTAAACAAGGAAAATATAACAATGCTAACTTGAATGCACTTGAATCTACTTAACAAGGTTGTCTAGTATGTATACATGTACCTAAGAACAGACAGATACATAGATATAAATATATAGCTATGACATTTATTTACATGTAACAAAACTTACAGAACTGTGGAAAGAAATGGACAAATGCAATGTTATAACAGAATATTTTAACATAAGTATTTGAGTAGTTGAGAGAACAGGAAGATAAAAATTTGGTAAGCATACAGAAGATTTGAGTCCAACAGTTATCAAGCTTCTTTGTTACATACATAAAGAACCTTATACACAACAATTGTGTAAATGAAAATTTCTCAACTATTGGAAGATTTATTAAAATTGATCACATACTAATTTAAAAAGCAAGCTCATCAATGTCAAAAATCAGTATGAGACAAACTGAGCTAGGAGGCAAAAGAATAGCACAAAGAAAAAAGTTTTCTTAATTAAACTAATGAAAATGCATGCAAACAATACGTATCGACTACAGCTAACAAGGTAACATTGCAGAGGCTTATCATTTATTAAGATAAAGTTTTGACAATTAATGAGTTAAAACACCAACTTTATATGTTAAAAAATGAACAAAAAATAAACTAAAAAGAAAAAAGAGGAAGATGTCATAATTTTAGACATAGTCTTCCATAAAGAAAGAATATACTCTGGCTCAATTTAGGAGGCCAGTATATCCAGAAGTACACTATGAGAAAGAAAGTATATAGGCATTATCATTTATGATATGAATAACTTTTTAAAAATTAAGAAACCAAGTACTACAATATTTTTGAAAGGAATAAAAGCATAAGTGGAGTAGAATTTATTTTTGGATTGGAAACAAGTCCAATTATCAACAAGAATGCCATGGTCAAATTATTCTCTATATTATATCCAATCAAAATCCCCAAGGCACTTTTTATAAAGTAGAACTTGACCAAATTATTCAGTTTTCTATAAAAGTAAAGCACCAAAAATAATCAAAAACAATTTTGAAAAAACTTACACAGTGGTGGTGGTAGTGGTGGTGGAAGAGACAGGGAAACTTCTCCATTAAATATTAGATTAATTACAAAGATTCTGTATATCTTACTATAAAGTAACAATAATGAGAGAACAGGTAGATAAAAATTTTCTAGGGACACAAATTTTCTAGGTCCAATAGTTATCAGGCTTTCTTTGTTGGATGTATAAAGAACCTCATACTCAAAATTGCTTGGATAAAAATTCTTCTTAACTATTTAGAAGCTTTATTAAATGAATCACATACCAGGCTAAAAAGCAAACTCATCAGTGTCAAAAATCAGTATGAGACAAATTGAGCTAAGTGTCAAAAGATAATCATAACAGAAAAAGGTTTTCAAACTAAACTGTAATGAAAATACATGCAAACACTTCTGGTGGACTCAGCTTAAGAGGTACCAGAGGCAAATAGCAGAGCCTTAACTCATTTATTAAGATAATGGTCTGAAAATTAGTGACTTAGAGGAAGAACTTTATATATCCAGAAAAGAACAAAAAAATAAAGGTAAAAAGGAGAACATGTCATAATTTTAGACAAATTCTTCCTCAGAGAAAGAACACATCCTGGCTCATTTTGGGAGGCCAGTATATCCAGACAAGTACAGTATGCAAAATTTATAGGCATTTTCATTCACAAATATGAATTTTTAAAACAAACCCAATAAAAATTCCACAGGCACTTTTAAAAACATAAAACTTGACCAGATGATTAAGTTTCATAGAAGAGTGAAGAGCTAAGAATGATAAAAAACAATTTTAAACAAGGACATGGGGGTATGGAGGTGTTGATGGGGAAGGCAGGGAAAGATCTCCATGAGAGATTAATTATAAAGATACTGTACATTGTATTATAAAGTAAGAGTGACTACTTTTATTGTTCTACATCCCAGTTCCTGGCACATGGTAGGAACTCCAAAATATCTATTAAGTGAATGAAGCATGTCATTGAAGGCAGCAGAAATGGAATAGATTAAAAGTGAGGAAGGAGAAGAACTGACTGAATGAAACAGTAAAGCAAACTTTGGAAGGTAGGAGGGTGAAATAAGTCACAGGAAACAAGGAATATCTGAGAGCAGTCTGTTGGGTTTGATGGTGGAAGAAGTCTAACATAAGTGAGGGTTACATAAGATGTAGTTGTGGACGACCTTGAGTTCAGATGATTTTAAATGAGGGCTGTTGCCAACAACAGACTTTTCAGATCACCTGCTTGTTTTTCGGTTCCAGACTTTGGTGTCCAGTGCTCTAATCCAGGTGGACTATTGACTTATTTGGCTTAAGTTTAACAAGCTCCTGCTTTGTGCCCAGCACTATACCAGAAGCTGGGATTTTGATGATGAGCACAATCACATCTTTTTCCTGCCCTCGTGAGCAATCTGCTACCATAGTGATCCTTCTGGGAATGTTCAGGGTATGGATGTATCCAGAATATAGATTCACTCTCATGGAAATGAGATTTTGAAATGAACACTAACTCTAGAAAATGAAAGTCATTGCTTTTCACTTCATCAGAAGTGAGTATCTATAATAATAAGCTGTATAGCAAAATTTTTCCCTAATCAAATTACATGTGATTTTTGTCATTAGAAACACATATGCTATCTTGACAACTATACATTGCTAATCATTTGTCTTGGCTGGTGATCTTTATCTCCATATGAACTTTGCACAAGTGAGTGAGAAATACCCAGTACATTCCTGTTATGTCCTGGTGAGTATTATAAGACGTTGTTCTCTGTCTCACCTTTATCTTCGTGTGTCCTTTTGCAGGGATTGTATTCGCACATTATGGTCCAGTCTGGAAACAACAGAGGAAGTTCTCTCATTCAACTCTTCGTCATTTTGGCTTAGGAAAGCTTAGCTTGGAGCCCAAGGTTATCGAGGAGTTCAAATACGTGAAAGAGGAAATGCAAAAGCATGGAGGAGACCCCTTCAACCCCTTCCCCATTGTCAACAGTGCCGTCTCTAACATCATTTGCTCCATGTGCTTTGGAAAGCGCTTTGATTACACCAATAGTGAGTTTCAGAGAATGCTTAATTTTATGTCACGAGGCTTAGAAATCTGTCTGGACAACCAGCTGCAACTGGTTAACATATGCTCCTGGCTTTATTACCTTCCCTTTGGACCGTTTAAGGAATTAAGACAAATTGAAAAGGATATTACCACTTTCCTTAAGAAAATCATCAGAGATCATCGAGAGTCTCTGGACGTTGAGAACCCTCAGGACTTCATAGATATGTACCTTCTCCATGTGGAGGAAGAGAAGAAAAATGACAGCAATAGTAGTTTTAATGACGATTACTTATTTTATATCATTGGAGATCTCTTCATTGCTGGGACTGATACGACAACTAACTCTCTGCTTTGGTGTCTTCTGTACATGTCACTGAACCCTGACATACAAGGTAATTAATGTTCCCTTTGTTGATGGCAAACCTAGGAGGTTGAAATCAGGATGATTCACCTTGGTGATGCTGTGGCTCCTAGAGCTAAGCAATGTCTACAGTCTGGGAAACAAAATGGAAATCCGTGCATCTCACAGAGAGTTGGGACCGTGTTAGCAGTTGAACTGCAAGTTTCTGATGGTGTCATAGTGCTTTAAATCTCTAGAGGCCTGACTCTGTGCGGAATCTGTGATGAAGAGAGAAGTGTAGAGAGGAATAACAATTTAGAGCTGGAGGGGATCATACTGGTCATTGGAACTCATTCATCTTGTTTTGAAAATGGAGAACAGAGGCCCAGAGAGGTTACGTGACTTTCACAAGTTCACACATCTAGTTCCACCACATCAATACCACTATGCAGTGAATGCCAGTGGCTGTTCATAGTGGGAGAACCCAGGGGAGGATAATATATTAGTTTTTATTGCTCTTATAAAAGTCACAATCTTAGCATCTAAACACAAATTTGTTATAGTTCTGTTCATTAAAAGTCTAACGCATGTCTCACTGGGCTAAAATCGAGGTGTTGGCAGGGTTGCATTCCTTCTTGGAGGCTCTAGAGGAGAATCCACTTCCAGTTTCCTCCATAGTTGCAGCCAGAAATGTTGCATCTCTGTGCACTCATCCATAGTCACATTTCCTGCTGATCTTAAGGAACACAGGGAGAACTTCTGTAATTTTAAAAGCCAAGTAACTTAGATTGGGCATACCCAGGCAATCCAGAATAATCTCCTTGTCTGCAGGTCCTTAATTGAATCACATCTGCCAAGACTGTTTGGCCAGGTAAGGTAGTATGTTGACTATTTACAGGTTCCAGGATATTAGGTTGTGGATATCTTTAAAGGGTCAATTCTTTCATAGAATAGATGGTATTGTAGCTCCCAGAAGTTAATCTCCTGCTGAGTAACACTGGATCCCAACATTTTGTATCTTAAAACAGCAACATCGCACAAAGCTCCTGAGGATAAGGAATCTAGGAGTGGCTTAGCCAGGATGGTCTGGTTTAGGATTTCTCATGAGGTTGTAGTCAAATGTGACTGGGCTTGCAGTCATCTATAAAGTTGACTGGGACTGAAGGATCCACTTCCAACATGGCTTACCCACTTGGCTACTGGCTGCAGGCCTTAGGGCTTAGACCTTTTTATGGAGCTGCTTGACTTGGCCCCAGACAGTGCATGGCCAAGACAGGAGCCACAGTGTCTTTTATAACCTAAGTTCACAACTGACATGCCAACTCTTCTCCCTTATTCTGTTAGTCACCTGGACCAACTTGGTACAAAGAGGGAGGGGACAGCATAAGAATGTGTAAACCAAGATACACAGAGGTCTTTGAGGGCCACATAGGACTACCACACATTGTCACCCACAGAAGCATAGAGGGTCAGTCTGACGTTGATAGGAGAGAATGATTCAGAGGGCTCCTGAATGCAGAGTGCTTCCTCCTTTGCCCTGCTGCTGTTCTGTTATCCATCAAAATCACGGAGTGGTGCAGGGTCCCTGGACTAGCTGGCTCCACTTGGACTATCTGACCAATGCTTCACTTCACTCAGGATGACTCAGGCCTGTACTGCCAAGTTACCTGCTGTGGGTTTCTGGTGATGGAAAGTGGGCGTAGTGGGGCAGTCTCACCTCCCTCCAGCTTATCTCCTGGTTTACTCTTTGCTTTTTTTGCATAGACAAGGTTCATGAAGAAATTGAAAGGGTCATTGGTGCTGACCGGGTCCCTTCCCTCACTGACAAGGCCCAGATGCCCTACACAGAAGCCACCATCATGGAGGTGCAGAGGCTGAGTACGGTAGTGCCGCTTGCCATTCCTCACATGACCTCAGAGAAGACAGGCAAGTCTCCAGGCTTCCTCCTTTGAATGCCCTTGTGGGAAGCCCAGCCCCTAAATCCAGAAGGGCTGAGGTAAGGGTATGAGGACCCTCACCTACCTTGGTCCTTCTGATGGTTTAGCCTCGTGTCAGGGTGATCAAATGGAATGCTCAGTCCTAGTTGTTCATTATTTATTACCTGGCATTCCAGCCCAGCTTCTCTTTGTAAACAGCTCTCTAGTCTTCAAAGCACAGATGCTCACCCTGGTCAAACAGATTGTGCTGCCATTTACAGTGTCTGCACTGATAGAAGAAACTCTAGAATCTGCAAAGCACCTGCCTCAGTGTCTTCTTCTCAGAGGTAGAAGAGCTAGTCTAAATATGGAAGTCAGGGTTTTAGCTGGGAACTAGCCTGCCCATTGCTATAATTCTGCCACTGAAGCATAAGTGGTGAAGAATTAGAAGACCCCATCTGATTCTAAGGGTACCTGTTTCAACCCCTCACAGGGAAGTGTGTCCTTTTGGTCATGCCCTTGACACCAGGGTGGACAAAGTGTACCACTTGACACCCAAGTGTAAACCCAAGGTTTGCACTTGTTCACATGTGCAATACAATACAATACAATACAATACAAAACAATACAATAATTAACAAATAATAGTACAAAAATAAACAGTTTGGGGCTGTCAGAACTGTAAACCTACTTTGCCCCACCATGTATAGGCAGTCAGACAGTCTGTAAACATCCCTCCTCACAAGGAATTTACCCTCTGGAGACAGACCGCCATGTAAGAGGCTTAAGTCTAGTCACCAGACAGTTGTAGGCAGCAATCACTTAAAAATGACATTCAGCAGTTTCTTTGGTACTGATTAGATACACTGTGTGAGCACCATCTTTGGGGCATCTCTAAAGAGCATAGGAAACTTTCAGCTGCTTAGGAGGCAGTGCTGACTTCTCTGTGCATCTGTTTACCTTAGTTTACCTTTCTCGTCGTATTATTGTGTGGGCATAAAGGAGTCTGAAATTTATAAAGTTTCATACAAGTATTTCAAGATCAGGAATGTGTGTTCTTTGAGAGAGCGTACTGGTATGCACTAGAATTTGTTTTAGTGTTTTCTCTTAATTATAATGTTTTTCGACGGATCCAATTCATTACCACAAAGTTCGTCGGACTGACTCTGAGCCTGCATCGTGGGGTTATACTGAGGAAAGGATGTCAGTTGCTGATGTCTTGCCCCTGCCTGCAAGTAACTCGAGGTTGAGTCTCAGCAAATTAAGAAGCTGGATATGTAACTAGGTATTTTTTGATAGTGATGTTTACAGAGAACTGTTGAGCAAAAAGCATGTTGAGTGACGCTGGCTTGTGTGTTGGTTGTTTTAGTGCTCCAAGGATACACTATCCCTAAAGGCACAGTGATATTTCCCAACTTGTGGTCGCTGCACAGAGACCCAGCCATTTGGGAGAAACCTGATGATTTCGACCCTAATCGATTTCTGGATGATCAAGGACAACTAATTAAAAAAGAAACATTTATTCCTTTTGGGACAGGTCAGTTAAGCTTTTATTTTCTTCCTGGCATAATTTAAAATGAAGTAGTACCAAAAGAATCTTTCATTGTTTCATGATACTGTTTTAAAAAATATTTTTTTCCTGGCAAGCTAATGTAAGAGAGGATCTGAATCTTTAGATGCTGCATCTCTACTAGTTCATTTGAGATTTTAAAAACCATATAAAAGCACTTTGGTTTTAAATCTTTAAATATGCACAGAAATCTTCACTTGTGAACTGCTCAGGTGACTGTTTGAGTACAGGGAAGTGCTGGAGTTAAGAGCAAAGCCTGACCTCCTGCTGGGCTGGTGGGTGAGAGGGGGCTTCTCTGTTCTCAGCACTCCCTGCATTAGGACATGTAGGCCTCTTTCTCGAGAAAAGGAGTGCTCCAGAGAGTCTTCACCTGATTTATTTCCTCCCTAATGATCCAGGTAAGAGCGCAGGAAAGAAATGAGTGGGTGCGTAGTAAGTGGGAGGGGACCAGGTGGCCACCACACTGGATCTGTCTCTAGTTCCTGTCCAGGGTGAGGTTAGCTTTTGTGCATAGGGGGTTGGAATATGAACTTCCTCTGTAAAAATTCTGATCAGCATTACTGTAAGAGGTCATGTGGTACATGTGGCAATTTTATTTTAAATGTCTATATCCGCATTTCAAACACTCAACTCAGATATTTCACGTAACTGTGTCCTTCTTGAGATAGGAAACGGGGTGGCATTATAACACTTTTTTCCTGATCTCATTTTAGGGAAGCGGGTGTGTATGGGAGAGCAGCTGGCAAAGATGGAACTGTTCCTGATGTTTGTGAGCCTAATGCAGAGTTTCACATTTGCTTTACCTAAGGATTCTAAGAAGCCCAGCCTGACCGGAAAATATGGTCTAACCTTAGCCCCACATCCATTCAACATAATCATTTCAAAGAGGTAAAGCACATCTCCAAAAAGAGATGGTGCACACAATGTAAATATGTGTCTTCTTAACACGTTCTTTCTTCTGCAGTTGACAGCAGGGCCAGGTGAGGCTCAGAGTAGAGACTAAAAAGAAGGTAGAACGAAGCGGAGCTTTCATCATGAACTATGCTCTTGTCTGTGACTTAGTGGGTAAGACTGAAGTACTGGATTGGGAAAAGGGAGATCTGAATTTTACTCCCAGTGGCTTCCACCAATAAGCATTTCCTCTCTTCTCCCAGTGCCTAAGTCGTTTCACCTGTAACAAAGCTCTGCACTCACGAAGGTCAAATGCCCCGTGCCTTTTCTACAGCACTAAAACACTGTTAAATAAATGCTGGAGAGAAAAATTAGGGATCAAAGGAAGACCAGCCTGTTTCAGAACTGTGACAAAATGAAAGTGGTGTTCAGACTTAAATACTTTGTCAGAGAAGGAAGGGAGTTGAGCTGAGTTGGAGCTCTCTTGGCACAGATCCTTTGTCAGTTTGGGGGGCCTTGTTTTGTTCTTGTTTGTCATTTTGTTCATGATTTTAGTTTTTACATTTTATAGCCATGAGATAAAGTGGACCCTGGTCCAGTAAGGTCAATGTGTACCTTGTATGTCAACTACATAAACAGCCTGGCTGAAGAAGCAGCTTCATGGCACAATTCCTTTCTTGCCAGTGTACTTGCAGAAAGACACAGCTCTGCTTTTGATCCCTGAATAGTGAGCCTGGGGATTTCGGTACTGGGATTCATCAAGAAAGGATTCAGATTGTACTGAACATTTCTTTCCTATTCTCCCACAGCTAGGCCTCATGTATCTCATCCTTAAATACCACTCTCAAAGACAGAAAGGCATTCTTCTCAAGAAAATGAAATCGTTTCTTAATTTAGAAGGCCCCTGTAGAAAAACGTTGTCAGGAAAGGTAAATGACCTCTTTCAATGGTTGTTTGGAAAGGAATGGATGCATGTTTGGTTACCACAGTGATGGGGTTGCTACTGGCTGTTTGCTGCCTTAATTCCAGGATGCTAAATGTCCGAGCAATTCAGTTGCAGAATGGTCCTGCCCAGTGTGCCGATATTTCTCCCAGTGAGAACGCAGTCCAAAGAAGGGTTAGCCTTTCCTTTACCCACCCATACTCCTTTCTTGTATAGGAGTGATCATGAGACTTATATAAATAAGTATGTTTTTGAGCCTCCCTTTGTGGGCTGCATATTTAATGCTTTACTTATAGGCATAAAAACTCTTCCAGAAACTGTCTTAAGGGGATGCCACTTTGTAACTGATAAAGCCAAAGGTTAGAGATGTTTAGGAACCTAGTTAAAGGGCACCATTGTTCATTTCAAAACTGACCCATGTTTTTGGATTACAGAGTCTTTCCAAAGCACTTCCCTGCACTGCCACTGCCTGATCCCATAGCAGTCTACCCCTCTGGGTTTTCAGTATGGACAAAGGAAATGCAGGCGAACCTTTAGGTGCCTTGAAGATTTGTGTTAATTAAAAAGAAAACTAATAAACAAAATTCCCGGGAGCAGACTCTAAGTCAATGGAGAGGCTGTTGGGTGGGTTTGAAATGGGACCCATGTGTGGATTAAGGTGCCCCTTGAGCAACACAGTTTGCTCCTAATCTGGAATGTCTGTGCTTAGTTTGAATTGCTCTGATCATTTGGGATTTGCAAATTTATAACTCCTTACTATTACACATGCTTAATTTCAGCCTTCCTTATGAAAGTTTGCAGCTTCCTTGAGGAGAAAACTGTTCTGTGAGACTATGTTGAAATCAGGCGTTTATTCAGTTTTTAAATATAAGACATCACCCTGTAGCAGCTTAAATACAGGTTTTTATGGGAAATCACCAAAAGGGCTGTTAATACTTTCCTTGCGTATGCTGATATTTTACAATTTTATATTTTATGATTTCTTTGAAATGTGAAAGTTATAGTACTTTGTTTATAAATCTGCCTAATGTATAATTTTTAGTCTTTTCCTAGCATAATTGTATGGTTTCATTAAACATTTTTTAAATTAATTTATATATTTAGAGAGAGGGGAAAGGAAAGAGAGAGAGGGAGAGAAACATGAATGTGTGGTTTCCTCTCGCATGCCTCCGTCTGGGGACTGGCCTGCAACCTAGGTATGTGCCCAAACCAGCGACACTTTGGTTCAAAGGCTGGTACTCAATCCACTGAGCCACACCAGTCAGGTCGCTTTCATTAAATATTTTATTTTAGTCTTTTCCTCTAGCATAATCATACACTTTCATTAAACATTTTATTCTAACTTTCATCGTGTCAGTGTTAGCACTTTTTGTTTCTCGCTTCATTTTAAGTGCTACACAAACTTCTGTTTCACCAGATGTCAAATTAGGACGTGGAAGAGGGAGTAGATCTCCAAAAAGAGAGCAATGGCCACAGTATTACACAAGCAATTTAGACAGTAGTTACAGTCAGGATTGTATCACAGCCCAAGTTTCTTATTTGCCATGTCAAGACCAGCATTATTTGAGAATAAGTATGAATCAAACAAGCTGTTTTGGCAACATGTTGTTTTTAATTTATAGTCTTAATTTTTCAAAATCAGTTGATATACAACATTATATTAGTTTCAGGGATACAGCATAGTGATTAGACATAATATTCATTATGATGTGATCACTCCAATAAGTCTGGTATCTACCTGACAGCACACAAAGTTACAACATTATGGAGTATATTCCCTAAGCTCTACTTTACATCCCCGTGACTATTTTTTTAATAACCAACAGTTTGTACTTCTTAATCTCTTTCACCTTTGTCACCCATCACTCCAATGCTCTTCCATCTGGCCACTATCAAGTTTGCTTGTTTTATTTATTTTGCTTTTTACATTCCACATATAAGTAAAATCCTTGGTATTAGTCTTTTCTGATATATTTCAATTAGGAACATGCACTTTAGTTCCATCCATGTAGTTGCAAATAGTAAGATGTCATTCTTTTTTATGATTGAGTGAGCGATACTGCATTTATGATGTAAATAGCTGAGACACTGTAAAAATTGCTGCAATAAAAATAGGGGTGTAGAAATCTTTTTAAATTAATGTTCTGGTGTGTCCAGATAAATATCCCAAAGTGGAATTTCTGGGTCAAGTGGTAGTTCTATTCTTAATATTTTTCAGGAATCTCCATAGTGTTCTTCAAAGTGACTGTACCAATTTACAGTGCCACCACTAATGCACGTAAGTCCCTTTTTCTCCACATCTCTGCCAACACTTGTTGTTTGTTGCTTCATTGATGATAGCCATTGTGACAGGTGTGAGGTGATAACACGTTGTGGTATGAATTTGTACTTCTTTGATGATTAGTGATATTGAGCATCTTTTCATGTGTCTATTGGCCATCTCTCTGTCCTCTTTGGAGAAAGGTCTATTCAGGCGTACATTCCATTTTTAATCAAATTGTTCTTTTGTTTGTTGTAAGTTGTATAAGTCCTAGTATTTTTATTTATTAATTAATTTATTTTAAAAGTATGGAACACTTCACAAATTTTCATGTCATCATAGATCGGGGGCAGGCTAATCTTCTCTGTACCATTCAAATTGTAGAATATGTGCTGCCAAAGCAAGCACTCCAGTATGTTTTTTATTTTAACCCCTTATCAGGTGTATAATTGGAGAATATCTTGTCCCATTCAGTAGGTTGTACTTTTGTTCTTTCTTTCACTGTGCAAGCATTTTTTAGTTTAGTGTAGTCTCATTTATTAATTCCTTAGTTCTCTTTGCCAGAAGAGACATATCACAAAAATATTGGTAAGAGCGATGTCAAAGAGTTTACTGAATATGTTTTGTTTTGTGAGTTTTATGCCTTTGAGTCTTACATTTAGGTGGTTAATCTATGTTGTATATGGTAGAAGGAAGTAGACTAATTGCTTTTCTTTTAAGGTTAATTTATTTTTCTTTTCTTTTTTTTTTTGCATTATCTGTTCAGGTTTGCCAACACCACTTATTAAAGAGACTGGCTTTACCACATTGTATATGCTTGCCCCTTTGTCATATATTACTTGACCATATAGGCATGGGTTAATTCTGGGGTCTCTATGTACTTTTCCATTGATCTGTGTGTCTGTTATGGCCAGCACCATGATGGCTTGATTACCACGACTTTGTAGTATAGTTTGATATTGGGTGGGATTTACTTCCAGCTTTGTTCTTCTTTCTCAGTATTGCCTAGGCTATTTGGAGTATTTTGTGGCTCCGTATAAATTTTAGGATTATTTCTGCTAGTTCTGTCAAATATGCTAGGTATTTTCATACCCATTGCACTGAATGTACACATTGTTTTGGTTAGTATGGGCATTTTAACAATGTTAATTCTTCTTATCCATAAGCACAGTATATGCTTCCATTATTTCCATCTCCAATTCTTTTCTTCAGTGTCTTATAATTTTATAGGTATAGCTCTTTTACCTCCTTGGTTAAACGTATTCGTAGGCATTTCATTTTGGATGTGATTGTAAAGGGGATAAAAATGGGACCAATATCTAAATATTAATGTTGTATCCTGCTGCCTTATGGAAATCATTTATTAGTTCTAATAGTTTTTTGCTAGAATCCTTAGGAGTCTCTGAAAGCCTTTGCTTTGTTGAGGTATGCTCCCTTTGCATTTGCTGAGAGTTTTTAATCATAAATGGGTTGAATTTGTCAAATTCTTTTCTGGGTCTACTTACATGATCATGTGATTTTTATCCTTCATTTTGTTTATGTGGCATATCGGATTAGCTAATTCGTGGGTACTGAACAATGCTTGCATCCCAGAAATAAATTACACATGATCGTAGTCTATGATGTTTTTAATGATTGCTGAATTCATTTTGCAAATTCTTGCCTGAGGATTTTTGCATATATATATGTATATATGTATATATATCAAGGATGTTGGCCTATATTTCTCTTTTATTTTGTAGTGTGTTTGTATGATTTGGTGTCAGGATAATGCTGCTCTGTATAATGAGTCTGGAAGCCATGCACCTGCTCCAATTTTTTGGAATAGCTTGAGGCAAGGTGTTAATTCTTCTTTGAATGTTTGGTAAAATTCCCTTGGGAAGCCATTAGATCCAGGACTTTTGTTGTTTGGGAGTATGTTCGTGACCGATTTAGTTTCATTAGTTGTCTTCACTATGTTCAGATTCTCTGTTTCGTCCTGATTCAGCCTTGGAAGGATTGTGTATTTCTAGGAATTTATCCATTCCTTCCAGGTTGTCCAGTCTGTTGGCACATGATGTTTGCAGTATTATCTTATTAGCCTCTGTATGTCTGTGGTGTTGGTTGTCACTTCTCTTTCATCTCTGATTTTACTTCTTAATTGGACCCTCTCTCTTTTTTTCTTGATGAGTCTGGCTATCAGTTCATCACTCTTGTTTATTTTTTCAAAGAACCATCTCTTAGTTTTATTGATCTTGACTTTCTTTTAGAACCCATAGCATTCATTTCCAATATGATCTTTATTCTGTCCTTCCTTCTACTGTATTGGGGCTTTTTGTTCTTGTTTTTTCCTAGTTCCTTTTGGTGTAACATTAGATTGTTTATTTGAGATTTTTCTTGTTTCTTCTGGTAGGCCTGTATTGCTATGCTTACTCCCACTTTGGACTGTCTTCTCTGTGTCCAGCTGATTTGCGGTTCTTGTGTTTTCATTTGCATTTGTCTCCTGGTATCTACTGATTGTTTCTTTGATCAATTGATAACCAGTTCATTGTTTAGTGGCATGCTATTGAGCCTCCCTGTGTTTGTGTGTGTTTAGTTCCCTTCTTCTAAATGATTTCTAGTTTAGTACCATTGTGATTAGAGAAGATGCTTGATATGATTGTATTCTTCTCAAATTTATTGAGACTAGTTTTATGACCTATAATGTGGCCCATCTTGGAAAATGTTCCACGTGCAATTGAAAAGAATGGGGTTTGTGGACCTTCATTGGTTGTGTGAAAGTCTGCAGGATGCATCAGTCTGGCTGCTGGTGTGGAGAAGCTCCTGGAAGAGTTTCAGGTGGAGATATCAAGTTCGGTGGAATGTGGTCTCAGGGAAATACCTGGTGGGTGAATGGTGGTGGCCAGTTAAATGGAGAGCACAGATTTGGCAGCTGCCAGCACTGGGTTGGCCCGGTGGTAGGAGAGCACAACAGAGGAATACTGTGGCATGTGCCTATGCTCTGTCCTCAAAGAGAATTGCTCCGGCCCCTCCCCCTCCACTTTTCACCCTGAAGTTAGTCAATTTAGTTTCTTCGTGTATGTCCCTGGTGCTTTTTGAGCTGCTGTCCTTGAACTGTCCTTGAGCTTAGAGCAGGTGTTTGTGTGAGCAATTGAATTTGTATGCTGGCCACATAAGAGCAGCAAGTCTCACTTTCCAGCAACCCTTTATCTTTCTTGGACACCATCCCTGCTTGAGTTCACAGCCAGATGTTATAAGGACTGCTCTTTCCAGCACTGGTTCCCTGGTCTGGGGAGCTCAGTTGTGGGGCTGGAAATTGCCACCTCCCAAGGAGTGCTGCAGCAGCCAAGATAGCCCTGTGGATCAACACACCACAGGTGGGGGACCTGCAGTTCCCTGGTTCTTCCTAGCAGTCTTGATGCGGTTTCTTTATGTCCCTACAGGAATTCTATTCAGCTAGTCTTCAGGTGGTTCTCAATGATGATTGTTGTATAATTTAATTGTAATTTTGATGTGCTCCTGTCAGGAGGTGAGAGAATAGAGTTTACTCCACCATCTTTACTGAACGACCCATCCCCTTGTGGCAAAGTATTGAGTGCTTGTCTCTCTTACACTTTTCAGCTCAAGAAGAAGAGAGTTTTTGAAATACTTCAACCTGTGGATTTTTGCCTCTAGATAAAGCCCCCTGCCATCTTTTGCACTGCCCACTCTTCCCCATGTAGGTCACATCTGAGGTCACCCATCATGGAGGCCTCCAACCAAAGCCTTATCTAAGTGGCCTTTCTTAAGACCTCCCTGCTGTATACTATATATATGTGTAGCCCCAAAATTCATATATGGTAACCTATCTCCATACATGTATTTGAAAATACAATGTTTAAAACCTTCAAAAATGCACAAACATGTGCATCTCTGGCCAAGATGGAGGCATAGGTAGATATGCTTGCCTCCTCACATAACCAAAAGGACAACAGATTGAAAAACAAAAAACAACCAGAACTGCCAGAAAATCAACTTCCGTGGAAGTTTGACAAGCAAGGAGTTAAACAAGAAGCATTTATTCAAACTGGTAGGAGGGGCAGAGAGGACCAGTGGCAAGGCAGAACTTTGAAGATTGGTTAGGTGAGGCAAAGGCGGAAGTTCCACATTTGTGTGCATATGAACTGCGGGGAACAGCTGGGGAATGGGATAGTCCATGCAACCTAGGGTACCCGTGTGGGGAAATAAAGGCTTAAAGCCCCTGGTTATAAAAATCTGTGCGCGTTGTGGCAGGAGAAACTCCAGGCCTCACAGAAGATTATTTTCTCGAGATCCTGGGGTCCTAGAATGTACACAAACCAAGCTACTTGGGAATCAGCACCAGAAGGGCCTAATTGCTTGATGGTAGCGAGGTAGTGACCGAAAGTAGCGCAAGAGCCAGGCAAGTGGCAGTGTTCCCTCTCTCACCCCTCTTCCACGTACAGTGCCAGAATGCAGCAACATGGGTTGCCCCACCCTGGTAAACACCTAAGGCTCCACCCCTTACTATGTAAGAGGTATGCTGGGACAAAGAAATATGGCTCAAAATAAGAGGACAGATAAAGACTCCAGAGTAGAACCATGGCCATATAGATGGGAACTACAGGTCTGGATAGAATTTAAGAATACGTACAAAGATTCTGACAGTATTTGTTCCCAAATGAGTGGTATCCTAGATTGAATCTTGGAACAAATTACTACATTAAGGGGAAAAAACAACGAATCCCAATAAAGTCTGTAGTTTAGTTAATAGTATTGTACCAATGTAGATTGGATCCCAGAAAAGAATACTATAGTAACTGGGGGAAAAACAGTGAATCCCAATAAAATCTGGAGTTTAGTTAATGGTATTGAACCATGGTTAATTTCTTCTTTTTCGACAAATATGCCATGGCTATGTGAGATGTCAAAATTGGGAAACTGGATGAAGGGTACATGTGAACTCTCGGCACCATCTCTACATCTTTTCCATAAATCAAAAATTACTGTACGATGTGAGCAGCGTGGTGGCGTGAGGACCTCCAGGTCTCTTCCCTTGAAGTTGGACAGCTATAATTCTACAAAGGATTACTTGCTCCATTCTCCAGCACATGTGACAGAGCTGACTTGAGCATATCAGAGTAAACAGCGTTGATGGACCCGGTGAGGGAAGGACAGACACAGAAGCCAGGTGCTGTCTGGTGTTCACCCTGACCCCAGGAGGCACTAAAGCAGTGACTGACTGCAGTGACGGTTCAGGGTGCAACCCCTACTGGATAAACCAGAGGAGCACAGACAGTAATTGGGCCTGAGTGGCTGGCATACAGTGAGGTTGCACCAAGGGGCAGTGGCAGTGTAAAGGGTCCTAGCATTCCCTAACCCACCAGCACCAGACAAAGGGTTCTGCAGAGCTGGGAACCTGCCCAGTCTATCCACCTGTGGCCTCTTTGGCAGTAAAAATCCTCACTTGGCAGATGCAAAAGGCCCAGCCTACGTGGTTTGTACTCTTTGAAGCTAAATCCACTAAAGAGAATAGTACCCCAGATATGCGAACCCACCTTTCTCCCCACCCATCACAGCACAGCATCCTAGAGGCAGCTGGATCAACCCAGACTGAGCCGGCAGCTTCTGACTACAGGAAGGCGGTGACATAAGGAACACACAAAAGACTCATTGCCCAGCGACTTCTGAATAATCCACAGTAGCGATACCTTGAGACCAAGGCAACTCCAACAGAAAGGGGCCAACCACCTCCTAGGGGCACCAGGGGCTTTTTCCATGGCTGAGGCAACACCACCCCACAGAGATTCCAGAAACCCTTAGCAGTTCACCATAGGAGAAAATAAAAAACTTGCGATTTAGCACCACCTACTGGGAAACAAATGGAAGACCTCCACTTACCAACCTGCTAAACACTGAGTGGCAAGTACTTAAAAAAAAAATTTTCATTTCCACAAATGCTCAGGTAGAGAAATATTCCCTAAAGCAAATGAATAACTAAGTTAACAGAATTCTAAGGGAATTCAGGGAAAAAAGGAAAAACCTCTAGAAGATAAACACATGAAAGACTGTGACTTAAATGGCAGTGAATTCAAGACTGCAGTTCCAGAAGTACTCAATGAGATACAAGGAGAGTCAGAAAAATAATTCAACAAGCTCAGAAATAAAACTGATGAACAAAAGGAGTACTTCACCAAAGATACTACAACTCTAAAAAAACCAAACAAATTCTGGAGAGGAAAAACTCAATAAATGAGATGAAGAAATTAGTGAGCTTAGGAAACTGAGCAGACCAGATGGAGAAAGAATTAGTGATATAGAAGATAGAAATTAGAAATGACCCAGCAGGAGTTAAAGAGAGAATTGAGAGTAAAAAGGATGAATGAACTCTATGAGAACAATCTGACTTCATTAGATAGAGCAAAGTAAGACTAATGGATATACCAGGAGAAGAGGAGAAAGTAACAAAAGAGCCTATTCAAGGAGATAACAAAAACTTCCCAAATCTATGGAAAGAACTGCATTCACAAACTCAAGAAGCTAACAGAACACCTAACTATCTGAATCCAAAAAGGCCTTCTGAGTGGCATATGATATTAAAATTGTCAAAATTAAAGACAAAGAATTCCCAAGGCAGCCAGGGAAAAGAAAATGGTAGCCTATAAAGGAAACTCCACTACATTATCATTGAATTTTCCAGTAGAAACCATACAAACGATGAAAGAATGGAATCAAATATTCAAATTATTGAGAGAAACTACCAGCTAATAATAATATATCTTGTAAAGTTATACTGTAGATATGAGGGTGAAATAAAGACTTTACCAGACATACAGAAGCTGAGGGAATTTACCATCACAAGACCTAAATTATAAGAAACACTGACAGGTGCTTTTCTACTCGAAAGAAAAAGACAAAAGGATACAAAACTATTAGCAAGATGACTAAGAGACTGCAACCCTCATTCAGAACAGGGTAGTAAACACTTTAACATAAAGGTTAAAGGAGGTAACAACATTTTAGAAAAGACAATAGGTACTGTATTTTGTAAATGAACAGCATTAAAAGGAATAATTCATGACAACAAAAACATAAAAGTGAGGGCAGGGAGGACTGAACTTGCACAGGTGAATGGAGTAGTAATCAGGAGAAAACTGGCGTATATATGAAAACTTATTTTGCATAAACCTGATGGTAACCACCAAAAAACGTCTAGAACTGAGACATAACATAAAAAAAAGAGAAAGCAGAGAAAAAATATAGAATACCACCAAACTAAAATAACAGATACATAAGGGAAAAGAAACAGTGCAGACACAGAGCTACCAGAAAACAAAAGATAAAAAGGCTGTAAGAAATCCTCATACCAATAATCACCTAAATGCAAATAGACAGAACTCACTAATTAAAAGGCACAGAGAAGCAGGATGTCCTGGCCGGTGGCTCAGGGTTGCAGGTTAGATCCTGGGTCAGGGTATGTACAAGGGTTAACTGGTGAATGCATGAGTAAGTGGAACAGCAGGTTGATGTGTCTCTCTGTCTGTCTCTCAAGTAAATTAAAAAAAGGCACAGAGGAACAGGATGGATCAAAAAACAAAACACAACTATTAGTATATGCTGACTTCAGGAGACACATCTCAGCTGCAAAGACATACTAACTCAAAGTGAAGGGTGAGGGAAATGGTACATCAGGAAGATAGTATCCAGGGAAAACAGGGTGCTGCTGTACTTACATCAGACAAAATATATTTCAAGACAAAAGATAGCAAGAGACTTATATGGACATTTTATAATGATAAAGAGGACAACACATCAAGAAGACCTAACACTCATATAGATATGCACCCAGTCTGGGAGCACCAAAACATATAAAACAACTACTACCAGAACTAAAGGGAGAAATTGACAAAAAACAAAATTTATGTAATAGAGATCAAACTACATCATTGGCAGCAATGGATAAATCATCCAAACAAAAATCAGAAAGAAAAAAATCAGCCTTAAATGACACACTAGACCAAATGGAGATGATTGACATTAACTTTTTCATCCCAGAACATCAGAATATACATTGTTCTCTAGTTCATATGGAACATTCTCAAGAATAAACCATATGTTGGGGCACAAAACCCGTGTCATCAAATTTAAGAAGATTGAAAACATATGTAGCATATTTTCCCCACCACAATGTTCTCTCTGTATTTGGAAATCAACTGCAAAAAAAGACATATACATTAATATGTTTATTGCAGCATTACTGACAAGAGCCAAGCTGTAGAAGCAACCTAAGTGTCTATCGATAGATGAATGGATAAAGAAATGGTGCATATATATAGTAGAAGATGATTCAGCCATAGAAAAGAATGAAATATTGCTATCTTGAACATCATAGACAGACCATAGATGGTATTATACTAAGTGAAATAACTCAGACAAAGACAAGTGCCAGATAATTTCACTTAAATGTGGAATCTAATAAACAAGCTGAACAGAAACAGACTTAGATATAGAGAACATTTTGATGGTTGCCAGAGGGAAGGGTGTTGGGGAGATGGTTGAAAAAGAGGAAGGGATTAAGAAGTACAGATTGGTAGTTACAGAATAGTCAGGAGGATGTAAAGTACAGCATAGGAAATATAGTCAGTAATATTGTAATAACTATATATGGTGTCAGATTGGTACTACATTTATCAGGGTGATCACTTCAGAGGTTATATAAATGTCTAATCGTAGAGCTGTACACCTGAAACTAATATTGTATGTCAACTGTAATTTAAAAAGAAAAAAAACATAGCTCTTAAACAGGCTACAGGTGTAAACATTGGGAATCACTGTGTGAAATTTGGACTTCTAGGGTGTATTAATAAGACTGTCTAAATAAATAAATATGCTTAACCTTTATAATATTAGTGTAACAGTTGAAGCTCCAAATGTAGACATATATAACGATTACTGTAAACCACTCCCCCCCCTCTTTTTTTTTTTTTTTTTTTTTTTAGTCTAGCAGCTAGGGAACTTTTTGAGTATGGAAGTATGAAAAGATAAAGATCGGGAGCTTGAGGTCAGAATGGGTTCAAATCTGAGCCTGGCCAGATTTATTAATTAGCTGGGTTACATTTAATAAATGTTTTAACTGTTTGGAACCTCAGTTTCTTCACCTTCAGAGGACAGCAGTGGTAGACTTTGAGTTGTTATAAAGAGAGGCAAAAGAGCATAATGGTCAAGAACATGAGCCCTGAAAACAGACTGCCCTGAGTTTGAGTTCTACCTGTGTCATTCATTAGACATGTGACTTTGATCAAGTTTCTGAACCTCTCTGGGCCTCCACTTCCTTACAGGTAAAAGAGGAGTGCCTTTAGTTCCTACGGAATAGGGTTTTTGTGAGGATTTAATGAATTTCCCAGTAAGGGTGGCAATGTCAACCCTAATTTGCTGTAGGTAAGCTTTTGGTTGGGGTTTCTGGGTTTTGCTCTTGGGCCACCCTGCGTAGCCACAGCTTCTGGTTTTCTGCCACATGAAATCTAAAAATCTCTCAACAAAACACAGTGTCCCAGTATGCCAGAAAGCATTAATTTCCCACAAACAGAAGGAAAATTCCAACTTACCTAGTGAATCCTCCCCATTAATGTTCCTGGCTGCTAACACACCCTGTCCTTGGGTCACTATCACATGGCAGTGTGAAGAAATCCTTCTCTGCCCGCCTGCCTCCCAAAGCTGAATAGGCTTTGCTATTTTTTGTATGCCGCCACTCTGTTGGAGGCAAAGGGCGGCTGCACTCTCTCCTTCTGCCACTCCCAGAGCCCACCACCATGTATGTTCTCAAATAACGCATCTTTGACAGCTATTTTTAAAATATTACAGTTGTCCACTTATAGGACAAAACTAAGTAGTCTTTACTTACTCAGTTCTCTGCGCCAGCACTTTCCTTTGCCATCTCTGAGTTGGTTCAGTGACTATAGAGTCATGCTTCCTAGCACTCCACTCTTTCTGCAGAGACAAAGGAAGCATGGCCCCAAGAACAGGGTGACTGTGCAAGACAAGGACCCCAGAAATTGTTCCTGGGCACCCGAAAGCCCAAGGCCGCACCTGGAAAAAACTAGCTGTCCTGGTGAAGGAAGAATGATTCTACTTGTAACTGTCATCTGATTAGGACTGGGCAGGGGTCAGGGCAGGGTGGCCCTTGCTTCATAAGACTCTAAACGGAGGCTAGGCTTTCAGTATGAAACAGCTGCAAGATACCTGTCTGACTGTTTCTTTTGACAGACAAGGGCACAAGAGCTTAAGGAGTTGTCTGCATGTGGCCATACTGCCCACCAGGGACGGAGCCAGTACCCCTCCGAGTACTCCCTTCTCAACATGACATTTACATAATATAGATGGCTTCAGGTTAGAGAATTGCTCACAAAATATGGCACTTGTTTGTCTTTCCTACGGAAAACAACTCATGGATCTTAAACGGCACTGTTCTGAGGCATTTTGTTTGACATTACACACATTAAAAAAACACATGTTGTGACAACATGTCATTAGAATATGTTTAGCCTTGCATTAGACACAACTTGTAACTGAGAATGGAAGGTTAAAAATCCACCTAAAGAATCATCCATGCATCTTCCTAATTTACCATCTTTTCTTCACCCTCATCACACCTAGTTTCTTTTCCCTCTCTCATGCCAACATTTTCCTGTTTCTATCTTTGCATGTGCTTTCTCTGGCTTGAGTACTCTTTTCTTTTTCTCATACACATACTCATTCTTCAAATTACTAGGTTTCTCTGTAATTTTCCTTTTCCAATTCTAGCCCCATCAGGTTTTGCATTTGCTACATGCTAGCATTTAACGGACTTTATTATTTGGATGTGACCCTATCTCTCTTTAGTACTGTCCCAAGTCTAACAGTGCTCATCAGCAGCACTTCTTTTGTGTTTTTACAGAATTAGATGTGATCACAGCAAAGGAATGGTGAACACAAGATTCACTATTGTAGCTGCTTCACATAGAAGGAGACCTATTTTTGATTTGATGGTGAGTTTATGGGTCCTTATTACATATTTAAAAATAAAAAAAATTTATTATTGAAGTATGATAACTAGACATTACTCACATGAGGGAGAAGATTGGCCTTGTCGATATCAAATATTCCACAAAGGTTTCTATTTAACCTTAAACCCTCAGATGTGTAAAGCCGAAATGAGATTGTTACAGAACAGACCCTGGGGGTGAGAATGATATACTATTACCGAATGGACCACCTTTTCTGCCTCCAGGGTCACCCTGTACTAGGTTCGCCTTGCCCGCCACCAGGGAATGATGTCTCCCAACGCCAGATATTGGTGAAAAGGAAAGGAATTATTTATTCAAAAAGTTATACAGACTTAGAGTAATGACTTAATGTCTTCATTAAAATACTGAAGTCCTTTAGAACACCAACAAATGCACACAGTCCCTCCTCCCTCTGCCCAGTCCAGGGTACCATACCTCAGGGAAAGAAGTAGAGGTCCATGGCTCAGGTAGCCTCTCGGTTCCTGGCTATGACGGACTAAGGCCAGCAGAGTCCTCCTGTTGTGGCTGACGACAAGAATAAATGCACGTGACAACAATCTTGTGGAGAGAAAGGGAATGGCACAGCTACTCTCTCAAGGGCAGAGTGTGTCGACCCTTGCCTAGACAAGCTTTTATTGTTTTCCTGAGGTCTTACATCAGAGAAAGATTTATTATCTATTACATAGAATATTATTGTCTACATTTTAGGTACAATCAAAATGAAAATAACATGCAGAGGGAATGGCAAAGAGCTCATTAGCTCTGTCCTTGGGAAAGTTTATATAGGCTTTGGAAATTACCTTGAAGATAGACAATACACATTTGTTGTTTTAGACCAAGGTGATGGAGTTTTAGCAAGAGCAAGCCCTAACAGTCTGTATACATTTTCTAGGCCTGATTCCCACAGGAAAACTCAGTTTGAAGGTCTGGCTCCTGCCCACCACTTCGCTTCTGTAGATTTTCCACACACAGCTGAGTCACATTTGCCAGACTAAAAGAAACCGATCCCCTACAATTCCCCCTTTTTTTCATTTTGTTAAGGCTGTTGTGGTGACACATCTCACAAGACTTGCTACTTGCTCATCTCTTTTGCAACCCTGGGTAAATAATTTGTAAATGCATCCTGATATACTAAACATTATTAAAATCAGTAAACAACCAGTGGCTCCAGTGACCCACAGTCCTAGGTTCAGTTCATCAAACCAGTGTTTTTGCTTTAACGGCAGAGATTATCATTAAGGGTTTGAAGAATCTCCTGCTTAGTTAAGCGTTCAATGTCCTGTTACTGTTGGTGTAACTCAGTTGCAATTTATTGATTCGTCCCTTTAAATTAGTAGAAAAAGCTCTTCTTAGGTGATATTGAACATCACTCCAGGAATATAGGCTGGAGTTCCATCGTAGTGGGGTGACACGCAGTTTGGAGAAACCAGGATCACAGGTCAGCTGCTGATGGATCACTGGGGCATCCTGGTGTTCACTGTTCCAGTTGAGTGCTGATTCAACTGTAGAAAGTCGAGTCAGGATTTCTTGGTTAATCTGGGCCTGTTGAAGCATTTCTAAAGTGGAGTTGGTTAAAAGAACATCAACAGTATGACCAGTTTGAACTGACCCAATGAGGGCAGTGGTTGCCGTGGCCACAGTAGCTGCGACAACTATAGCAGAGACAATAAATGCAATCAAAGTGCCAACAAACCATTGGACTCTTACAGAGGCCAGCACATTGTTAAGCGCCATTATGCTATGGGGATCTTCCCATTCTCTGGCTACATCAACTGGCATCCATATCTGAGTTTGTCTTCTAACTATGTAAACTGTAGTGAGGCTTAACTGAGTAATACTGAGATGAGTAAGACAGCTGGCATATATGGAGCCTGTGGGGACAGGCAAAGAATAAATTTTTGCTGATTTATTATAAAAGACTTGAGCTGTCCCTGGAGTTGCCAAAAACAAATAAGGGTGAGAGGAACAAACTGTGACCCAATCTTATTTTAGAGGGCCATCCTGATAGAGGCTTTTTAAAAAAATTTTATACAGGCGTTTTCTAGCAATAAAAGGCAAGCCCATTTTCCATGAATTGTAATGCCAAGGGCTACTGTGGTTGGGAGAAACAATTCTAATAATAGGTGCCCCAGTACCGGGCCCCTCCCACCACATATTTGAGGCAGAGCTGAAACTGTTGTTGTGCCAAGCTTAGCCAGTACTTTCCAATTAGCTCCCCAGTTCTCCACTACAAAAGGACTTTTGGGGAGAAAAGCAGTAGTAGCATTCGGTCCTCAGCACAAAGACCAAGAGACTGAGTCTTTGTGGCTTTTGTCTAAAGTACAAGGAGGAACCAGAGGGGGATTGAGAGTGTGATAAATCCCCTCTTGGGTACGTAGACCAATTGGTGTTACCATAGAGAGCTGATAGTAATTAGCGTACTGTTCCTTATTTGCAGCATAGCATTTTTCTCTTATAGTTAAACACAAAGTGTCAGTAAGAACAGAAAAACAAACTGGTGAGAGTATTCAGCAACATAAATAGTATATCTTGGCACTGACATCCAGTGCTTATTTTCTTCTAATGGGCCATCAGGGGGCATCCATTCTCCTCCAAGTCCACTGAGTGTTGTTAGTGGAAAAGGGAGGTTCATCATTCCACCAGGTATGCAACTTAAATACCAGTGGGTCAATAATGTGAGCCCAATAAATATGAGAGGGATTACTTTCAGTATTTAGGCCCTGCCCCCCAGGCAGAGTATAATAGCAATTAAAAGGAAAGTTTTAGCTGAATTGGCTGACAACACTGCTAAGTAACCAATAAATCTATTTTCTGGGGTGTCTTCCACCTTAGTGTCAACAAGAATTTTCTCAGCTTGAGTATTAAGAGTCTTAATGTCCCCCCATCTGGTGGGGACACATCTGAGAGGAACATTATGAGACATTGAAAGATTATTA